TACTCTGGCAACAACTATCTTACAATTTTCCATACAAAACATATATTCATCTCACAAGATATTATGCATTTGTACAGATTAAACTACCCTACAGTAAAATTGTTTACATTAGCTCCACATTTACCAGCTAACACATTAAAATGAAATGCAGTATTTTACACTGTGGTATTGCCTACTTACTTAAGTAATCTGAATACTGCCAGTCTTGGTTACTAACCTTCTATAGCCATCATGACCCGAAGTTCTCTGTTCAGAAGCTCAAATCTCCTTTCAAGATCCTGCTCCTCTTGCCTGTAGACACAGCCAGCGGTCAGACAGATAGGAAGAGTGTATTATATTTGTATGTGTCTACTGTTTGTGTGTGAGAGGTCTTACAGTAGTTCCAGGTTGTCCTGTCTGCGTATCAGAGCGTTCTTCTTGTTCACCAGAGTGAACCACTCCTGGATCAGTCTCTCCTCTTCATCACGGTCGCTTCCTGTGTAAACAGAAGAAGTTTGACAGTTTGTTTACAACTGTCGTAGAAAATCTACACCATCAAGTGTGCAAAATACAGGCACACTCAGGCTCTCTGAAAGCTTAACACAAATACAAAAATGTCTCAAAAATGAAGATAATTATTTTCCAGTTGCCCATGTTGTAAAATGTATTTGCATGTTGAAAGGCAAACTAAAAATATATTAAGTAATATATATTAAATAATCAATTTTAATGCTGAGGTTCAGCAAAAGTCTTATTTATGTCTTTAAATAGACATATATATCTAAAATAATGTTGGGACAACTTCAGGTAACAAGCAGTTTGTGTTTCACCTTGTTGTGTTGCTCCTTTATAGGTGCATGGATTTTTTTCAGGAGATAATAAATGCCCTTACATTTGTAGACTTATTTTAAAGTTTGTTTTTTTAACGGCATGTAGGTTTAACAGGCCTTTTTCCACAGCAGCCACTTTGACATGAAATAGTACGGTAAACACAGGTGCTACAAATGATACTAATTAAGGCTCTGTTCCATCCAGTGAGCCAACTTGCACAATAGCAGCACGCTGACTCTGTTTGACCTGAAAGGAATATAACCTTAATTAGTAATTGGTTACATGTTTCTGTGTTCATGTCAAAATGGCTGCTGTGAAAAAGGTCTATTTTGGAGAATGACAGGCATGATATGATCTGCTTTTATTTTGGAATTACGTGCAGTGCACACATGGCATGGCTTCACCCGATTGTTGGTGGATATTTCGCACACTGCCACCACTGCACAACACATTTAAAATATATGTTGATTCCCAGTGAAGTAGAGCTATTTGATGTTGTTGTTATAAATCTACTGCGTCCAGTTTGAATCTATTTAACTAAATGCTCTACTGGTCAATTCTTATTCTGGCTTCCTGAGTCCTTTCTGTGGATTACTCACCTGTTTCCATGAGGCTTCGCAGTCGTCTCTCCACCACAGCGGCTCTGCTGTCGATGTGCTTCTGCTCCGTCTCCAACGCTGCCAACTCACTCAGCACATACTGGCTGGTGTCCTGCAGACACTGACCACAAGCCCCATCACACACACACGCACACATGCATACATGCAAACACATGCATGAACATACACAAGACAATGGCAGACAGCCACAAAGAGAGGAAATAGGGGAAAGGAGATGAAAGGAAAGAGGGAGTTGGGGAAACGACAAGTAAAAGAAGAAGGTCAAAAGATTAGAGAGAGGCCAAAAGGAAGAGATAATACAAGCTGTGAATGCAGATGTTATTATTATATATATATATATTATATATTAAAATAATTTCTTTATTTTGATTTTTACAAGGGCAAAGCAGATATGATTCAGTCATGTTAATTGTGTTTATTTGATTTGACCTGGGAGATGGTAAAGAAAATAAGTAGATAAGATAAGAGGAGTTAAGTGAGGAACACATAACTGACCATTGTTTCCTCTTCTTGTTTGGGAAGCTGGGTCTCAGCTGAGCTCTGCAACTCTGTACACATAGACCCACACACATGCACACACACATACAACAAAAGAGAGCAAAAAGAAGATTGTAAGTTGAAAAAATATTTAAAATATCTGATTATTGTTCAGGCTTCAGGTACCCACCTGTATTATTAGTGATTTCTGTTGTAGAGCCAGTCACTGTGTCTTCATTCTGGACAAAAAAAAACATGAAACCTTCACAGTAACTATCATAATCACACATCCAGTAAATAAAGAGTGTGTGTGTTTTTCTCCAGGTGAAAAAAAATATTGAAGCTTTAAAAACACAAAAAATTAAGTGTTACCTGAGCCACTCCAGATTTGACTGCTTTGTTAATCGACCTTGGGGGTGGGACTGGGGTTATTGACTCTTCCACTAAAAACAACAACAACAATGACCTCACTTTGAGTCTTAAAGACCAAATAAGCAACAATCATAATCATCCACTTATTAATTAACATCATTAGGCATTATCTATTAAGAGTTTAACATCATTCATTGTGAGTGTGCGGGTGCAGTGTGATCAGATTTGATGGCCAACAAAAGCAATCAATCCCACAACTGTCATCACATTTTTATTCAATTATTTTGCTCAATGAGATCTCTCATCTGAAATAACCAGAGCTGTTTGGCATAAAATGTATTCATTTAGGACCTTTTCAGTAAGAAGAAGATAACATATGTTTTCAGGGCCTTTCAGGAGCTTTGAAATTATATCAATACATTTTAAACTGAGAGAGGTACTCATATCTCAAAATGCCATGTTTATGGCAGCACCATTCTGTCAAATGGAAAACTGCATCATTTTATACACATTTCCATCAAATTCAGCATGACTTATTTGGTATTTTTGGGAACCTTGGGAAACCTACTAGAATCTTAATTGAGGTGCTGTAAACTTGATTTAATGATTTGTTTATCCTCCTCCTTAGCTCAAACTGAGCTACTTCACATTCCCAAGTTCCCTGGAGACACACTAATGTTTCCCCTTTCCTCTTTTCTTTTCTGTTTTTCTGACTTGGTTTTTTGCTTCACTTCATTATTTGTCTCTTGTTTTTATATCAGATTTTGTTCAAATTTCCATGGATCACAGCATGGACAGAATCTTAAGTGAGTTTGACTGCACAATGTCTTGTGATGAACCCACTAAAAGATCCATAAGACTGAAGTTAAGGTTAAAATTAGCCTCAAGACAGATGGGATGAATCACGTTAGAAATTATCATTAAGGTGTACAGTGATTTAAATATAGTGTAAGCATAAAAAAGTTGAAGTAGAGGCGGACACCTTTAAGCAGTCGTTTAGTCCTTGGTGGCGGGACGACCAACGTGCTGCTTCCTCCTTCCTCTAAGCTCACTCCTTCATTTAGTCTGGCCATGCAGAAAGCGGCAGCGTCGTCATTAGTGGGACCAGGACCTGAGAGAGCGAGGCCATAGCTGGATTGGCTGCTGTTGTGCTCTATCTGCAGCACACTCAGCTCCTGGTTGGTAAAGTGCGAGCGGATCTGACTGAGGTACGTCATGACTATGAGCCTGTCAGGGACGGACAGAAGAACCATGTCTGACGGCTCCAACAGACGAGAGATGCCCAGTGCCTCGAAACCATCAAACGCCTTAAGTTATCAGAAAAGAAAGACATCATCAGTGAAGAAACAAACTGTATGTCAAACAAGGTTAATTTTAGCCAACAATAGCTAACACGTCACTGTATATATTGCCCTGACTAGGAGTCAATACCATGTCACCCGCCTCGATTACAGATGAAACATTAATTGGGTGAATGTATTAACAACTATCTTAAAAGAATAACAGAAACAACATCGAACATTATTAAATAGAAATTATTCTGTATTCTAGCAAAGGAATTCTGGACTATTTAAATATTTGTTAAATAGTAAACTATTAACACAAATATAATTTATTAGCATGCGCTTCGTCCTTACCTTCTTGTTGTTGATTTTGATGTCATGAGGGTCCAACTGATCAAAAACTCTAAACGGACAAAAACAAGGAATAAAATAATGAGAACATACCTACAGCAGGTTTACAACATTTAATTTATGTAGGGCTCAAACTAACAAATTATTAGTTCTCGATTAATCAATTTATTGTTTGCTCTATAAAATGCCATAAAATAGTTAAGAATGCCTTTTACTATTTTACAATCACACAGAACACAAACTGAGATGCTAAAAAAAAAAACCTAAAACCCAAAGACATTAATTTATATGAAATCGAAAGTAGAAGCCTATCTGCAATACATTTTTAACCAATTGATGTATTGTTTGAACTCTAAATGAATGGTTTAGAACATGAACATCTTACAGCAACGGTGAGTCATGTTAAAAAATGCATTGCGAAATCAGTTACATAACTAGAAACAAAATTAGAAAGTTGCCTTAAGCTGAGAAAGAGATTATGGTGCTTGTATGCCGTACATTTTGTCTGGATGGAAGTGATGCAGGATGGCACAGAAGGCCAAGCCATTTCTCCAGGATGTGCTGAAGTTGGTGACCTTTACCCCCCGGTACCCATTGGTGATGTTTTGACACCACTGGAGCAGTGACTGGCTAGAGTTCACCAGGCCCTGGAGGAGGAGAGAGGAAGAGGATGGTGGTTGTGTATGTGTGTGTTTGTAATTTCAAATGGCAGTTTATGTGCACATCAGTATTGTGAATATTTACCTCAGCTGCATCATCCTTCCCATCAGCTTCCTCTCTTACCATTGGAACTGGATCAGGGGTCTTGAGGTCAGAGGTTTCTTCTTCTGCTAACGTAGGAAGTCGAGATGTATTCATCTCACAGTGATGGTGAAGAGTTTGTTTATCACTGGTGTTTGTGCTGGAGGTGTCTTTTGGCTGAGATTGTGGTTTCTTCTCTGCACCATGAGGGACGTCGACCAGTTTGCCTTTTAGCCTAAGAGGAAATAGGACATAAACAATAGAAAAGAAAAGTGATGAACAGAAAGATTTACTTTGTTTAGTGGAAGAAAGGAGATCATCCAAGCAGCCTAGGATCAGCATTGTTACCAGTGATTCGTAGATGCGAGCGAGAGACGTGCAAGCTTGCTGACACAACAGCATTGCAGCACTGGTTTGATGTTAGACGGGATGATAGGAAACACAGCATGAAACAGGGAACCTATATTTTCAGCATCGTTGACTCAACACAGGTCTATGCTGTTTCGTCAATATTTTAATCCCCTAAGAACCAAGCAGATTCACCAAATTGTTGTCCGACATGGCAGCAGTTCTTTAAACTACGTGGCATCGCCCATGCACTCAGGTGGCAACACACACACATAAACACACACACACACACACATTCTGCCAGAGGTGTTTTAAGATTTTAAGTCCAAGTCAAATCTCAAGTAAGCCAAGACAAGTCAAAGTTAAGTCTCAACACTTAAGACACATTTGAACATTTTGCTTTCTAAGCTGTGTGGATAGTATTTCTAGCAGCATGGCTCTATGGATGTCGGTCTGACAGGCTGTCTGGCAGTCAGTCCACCACCACAGTCCACACTAAAATTATGAAAATAAAAAAGGATGAATCCTACTGAATTTGATGATGTCCTGACTTTCACTCTAGCACCACCATGAGGTTGACCTTTGTGGTTTTAAATGAAATATCAACCATTGGATTAATTGCTGTGAAATTCAGTACAGACTTTCACGTCCCCTTCAGGAGGAATTGTAATAAGTTTGATGATCCCTTAACTTTTCATCCAGTGCCATATTCAGGTCAAAATTTGAATGTGTCTAACACATTGGTTTATGACCAAATACCTACACAACTAATGACATTCCCATCAGCCTCAGCTGTACGTGTGTGTTTAGTTCTAATTAGCAAACATAAGCATGGTATGTAAACATCAATACCTGCTAAACCTAGCATTGTCATTTAGCATGTTAGCATGCTGACATTAGCATTTAGCTCAAAGCACTAGTGGTTCGACTGTACCGCCTCACAGAGCTGCTAGCATGGCTGTAAGCAAGTCTTAGCTGACACCACATCCACTGAGTGTAGCTATACAATGTCTGCTTATTGTTGTCTTATTTTATTTTTTGGAGTATTTTACCAAGTTAGAATTTTGTACTTTAATGTTTTTGCTCTCAAATCTCAAGTAGTGTCAAATCTTTAGGGAATCGAGTGTTAAGAGCTGATTTTTCTGACTTAAGTCTGACTCAAGTCTCAAGTCTGCATATTGCATACCCAAACAAATAAAAAGAAAGCCTCAGTGGCATGTCATTTTATAGAGCAGCACAGGTTGACAACCCATGCTGACTTACACATCCTCCTCTCTTGCTTCTTTCTTTTGCTCCAGCTCATTGGCCAGTGTCTCTTCTGCCTCAGTTAGTGATATTTCCTGCAGAGTATCAAAGCAGGGAATAATCGAGTGTTGACTGTGATCAACAAGCTCTGTGGTGTCACTGTCAATTTCACAGGGGTCGGGGATGAGGAGCTTCATACTGCGAGGGCCAGAGACTGGGGATGCATCGCCTGTCATCAGATGAATTTTAGCCAGTAAGAGCCTCTCCTCCTCTTGGAGCTGTTGTTCTTTGGTGACAATGTTGAGATCAGGGGTATGTGTCTGTGTATGAATGCTCAAACTGGAGTCTGTAGCCATTTCTGACATTTTTGTGTCATTGTTTATCTTATCGATCTTGGTATCGGTGTGTGTGTTGGTGTGTTTGCTGTCAGAGTGTATGCTGGCAGTGTTTGTGCTTGGAGGGAGAGGCCAGGGAACCACTGATGATTGAACAAGTTCTCCCTCCTCATTGGTTGCTGCCACCAGGCTGGGACCAGTTTTTGTGACATCATCCTTCTGTCCGTTCACTGGCTGTACCCCACTACACTGGGAAGCAGGTTTGACCTTAGTTGTCTGAGTGATTCCTTCCTCTTGCTCAGACCCCGAAGGTGGTTTAGGATGAGGACGGACAGCCAGACTGGTTAAAGGGTGTTCGGGTTCATTTGGCTGACTAGCGGCTGAGCCCTGGTAAAATGTTTGTTCACTGGAAGGTAGTGAGGAGGGCGTCTGGGTAACAGCAAGGGACGGGAGGCCTGGGCTGAGGACAGAAAATTTGATTTCAGGGCTGAACCTAAAGGCTGAAGTAAAAAAACTGACCAGCAGCAGATCCAACCGCAATGTCCTTGTCATGCTCCATTCGCCTCTGGCAAGAAAAGATCATTCATTTCAAGTAGCCAGAGCTCTGTCTTGTTAATCTCACAAAAGTCGGAAGCAATTCAAGCATAAGTTGTTTAGAAAAGACACAGTTGGTTGTTGCCATACTTTAAACCAATTTAGTAGAGCATGGCGCTCATTAAAGGACACTTGTTTTTACTTGAAACAAAAACTCTCCAGACGTGCTTTTATTAAATTCAGCTAACCTCAAGGTTCCCAAAAAAGCTGCCATAGATTTTCCCCAGATTTCCACAAGTCTGATGGGACAGAGGTCTGGCTATGTGACATTATACCAAACTCGACAAGTTAGAGACATATAAGCATGTGACTCAACCAAAGCGAAAACACCGATTTTAAACAGGCCCCAGCCTCCACTGAACTGCAACATCCAATTACCAAACCAATCCATTCATCCATGCTACTTGACATGCTACGTATGAGTACTGAACAAATGCAAAGAGTCTCTCAATTCTCCTTGATGTCAGTCATGTAGACAGTGACGACCTTCTCCCCTTTTTCATGCTTGGTGCACATTTGCTCAAATCTTCCGAGATGAAGGAGTGAGATGTGAAGAGGAAATCCAAGTTTCCTTTACAAACAACACGGTAATGATGTTGTTTGAGGGGGAGAAGAACGGTACATGACTCACAACCCTTTCTTGAGAAAGACCTGCAGGAAAAGGCCAAACCCTCACTAAATGAAGGATGCTGTAGTAATGCTTAGTAATTATCATTTCCCTGCAGATATAGTGAGTCAGTCAAGCCTCAGTTTTTGGAGGAAGCATACACAAAAACACACAGGCACAGTCCTCTGATCAACAAGAGGCAACAAGCAGAGCTCTCTCATATAGCCAGCTCTTTCCCAGTTACTCACCTCTCTCTCTCCCTGCTGCTATTTAACCCTTTTAACCCCCTTTACTCACCCCGCTTCCCCTTCCATGTACAGCTCAGCCAGCCAGATGGAGCCAAGATCTTCCTGTCCTCTTTCATACTCCACCTCCTCGTCCTCCTCCTCTCTCAACCATACTGGAATGGCACCAGATTTCAGGTTGGATTTTTTAACTGATCTCAGAATGGGATTATCCGGGACTTTCTTAACAGCGACTACAGAGTCTTCAGGTTTGACTGATCTGGAGTCGAGCTTGTTTGTTGGTCTGGCTGCAGGGACAGAATCAGCAGGACTGATCGAAATCAGTTTGGCTTCATTATTAGTGTCAATCGTTTTCACTACTTTGGGATCAGACTTGTTTTCTGACAGGTCTTCATCAGCCTGTAGACTGCCATCAAATGCAATGTCATCCAATTCCACTTCCCTCAGAGGAGGCCAGTCATTTGATTGGTTGTTTGTGACTTCCTGTTTGTTTTGCAGGGATGCTGAAGAAATTATATCTTGTTTCTGCTGTGGTTTCTTTCCTTTGCTATCCTCTTCCCTTTGCCTCACCCCGTCCTCCTTCTCCTTTCTCTTCTTCTCCCTTTCCATCTTTTTCTCCCTCTCCTCATTTGCTTTCTTTTCTTCCGCATCTGCCCTCTCTTTCTCTGCCTTTTTCTTCTCGTCCCTTTCCTTGTTCTCCTGCTCTTTCCTCTCTTTTTCCAACCTCTTTCTTTCCTCGTCCTTTTCCATTTCCTTCCTCTCCATCTCTTCTCTCTCCTTTTCCAACCTCTGCCTCTCCTCCTTTTCTTTTTCCACCCTCTCTCTCTCTTTCCTTTCTGCCTCTTCTCTCTCCTCCCTCTCTGCCCTCTCTATTTCCTCCCTCTTCATGTTTTCTATCCTTTCTTTTTCCCTTCTCTCCCACTCCAGCTCTTTCTCCTTCTCTTGCTCACTAGCTGCCAGTCTCAGACTTGCCACCAGACTTAGCCCTTGTGAGGGCAAACATGGTTTCTGAACTAATTCTGTCCGGTTTTCTCTTGTGTCAGAGAAGGCTGTGGGTGGTGAATTGTCCACACCAATGGGAATGAGTGGATTGTCATCTGGCTCAGAGAAATACAGCATCTCTGCATCTACTTCACGTAAACATGGCTCATCTTCACTAATCATAAGGAGGCATGGTTGGTCTGCAGAGTGGGATGGATGAGCTGCATCAGTGGATCCAGTTGTCTGCAGGATGGAGGCCACTGTCTCATAGCTAAAGGGACAGACACGGGGGACAGGAAAACTCTGAGATGGATCTCACCCTAAAATGACCTCAGCAGGCTCCAAACAGTGAGACAGAAAGCCAGACAGCATGCATGATTAAGTAGTTCCTTCTCAGACTTTGTTTTGGTGCTTGTCCAAAGGACACAGAGGAAGCATTCATTGTTGGTTGCACTGAGAACCACCCTACACTTTTTTCCCCAACGTAGTACACAACAGAGCAAGCCCACTGGCATTTACATCACCACTGGCTAACACTTTCTGGTGCCATGCAGGTGAGATCTCAGATCAGCTCATCAAGATGCACGGCTAGCTAATAAATATGTCACACTGACATTAGCAGCTCACTGAGTGGATTATAACCAATATTGATGGTAGATCAACCACTGGGATCAACAGCACGATGTATTATAGTTTCTGGTAAATGGTTACAGTTTTATCTACAGTGCACGTTTTAAACAACAAACTGTTTCTGCACTGCACTGCCATGGAAATAGAGTAATATTTCATCAAAATGTAATAAAATTCTAAATAAATTAATAAAATGTATGATAAGTCATTTGAATATTGTTAAAAACATACTGATACATTTCCTGGACATTATTAAATAATAATGGGTGTACAACTTTTTAGCAACTTTTGATATAATTATATGCTAAGAATTTGATCATAATTTTAATTAATACATTTGATGAGTCTAAACTCTTTATTATTATATTACTTGTTTAATTATGTAATATGTTATCCCTCTTTTGGGGATATTTGATAAGTAATAATGCTATGCTTTGGGGTTTTTACTGTTTAGTGCAACATTTAGAGGAATATTTTATTGTATTTGACAAGATTTGGCTATTTCCTGACTGTATTTAAGCCTGGTCTATGGAAACTTTGCCTCACACCATGACAAATAGTTTTATGGACAGGCAGGCAGGGAGACTCACCCTCTGTACAACACCCCGACTACTGCTGACATAAAGCCAGCAGGCACCTCCATCTGCTGCGCTGCAACACACACATCTGCCTCTGCACTTTTCTGGGCACTATCACACACACAAACACACATACACACAGGCAGCCCCACAAACAAACACGCACACATTTTACTCTTTTGAAAAGCTGTCATCAAATCATTTCCATTTAAAGAACCAGTCTAACAGCATAGACAGAGGTTAAGATGAGGAGAACAGCAACAGTTAAGGTTAACTGCAGCTGTTAAGTAAGCACTGGTTAGACTGCAGCACAACAGATGAACGTTAGTCAGTACATGTGCAGGTGTGTATGACTGTATGTCTGTATGTGATGATCTGTGAGCAACGCCAGACATGTCATGCCATGCAGCACAGGAACCGTCACTGACTCACCCCCCTATTACACCACCCTCCTCCTGCTTCTCATCCTTCTCTTCAGTGCTCTCACTACTTTCCATCCCTCCTTCCGCTCCTGTCTCCGCTGTGGTCTCCTCAACAGTCGCCCACAGCTGCTTTTCTGCTTCACACACTGGCGCCTTATTGTTGACGAAACCCTCCGGACCACCAGCCACGGCCTCGGCTGGTTTCTCCTCATCTGCTTCCTCCTGTTGTGGTTTTCCTGATGGCTGGAGAACTTGTTCCGGCCGCAGTCTTAGTTCTGGTTTTGAGGGCTGCAGCGGCTCCAGCGCCAAAGCTGCACGCTCGCCGACTGGTTTGGGGGAAACCTCGGGTGAGGGTGCTGGTTCCACGCTGGGTCCCTCTGGCTCTTTGGGCTTCTCTTTAACTGGCGGTGCGCTGGGTTGTGCAGGAGGTTGGACTATGGGATGTGTTTCTGAGTCTTTTGCTGTTATTGGCTGCTGCTCCGGCTTGACAGGGGTGTCAGTGACCACCTCAGCGACATCTTCTCTGTCAGAGCTAGTAGAAAGGAAAAAAAGATACAGCCATTACAGTTTTACATGTGTTTTACATCATAAATAAGCCAGAGCATCTGCGAAGCAACAGACAGATGGTCAGAAAGAAAGATAAAGCAGAGAAGCAGATAGACAGACCCCTCATCCATTCTTACCCTCTGCACAAAGATTTTGTACCCTCCTTGGCAGAGATTTTTTCAGGTGTATCTTCCCCACTTCTCCCTTCTAGCACTTTCCATAGTGGAACCTCTGCATCAGACAGCCTCTCTGGAGGTGGCACCAAGGTCAAGACCTCTAATGTAACAGTGGGGCCTGAGCGGATGCCAGGTGGAGTACATGTAGCACGTATTTGCTTTTCTGGGACAACAATGTTTGACAATGAACCTTCCATTAAGGGAGAGGGTTGCCCCAGACTGGAATAAGGGGAGAGAAAGAGGAAAACATAAAAAAAGGAAAGGGGAAGAATCTGATACGTAATAAGTAATAAAACAAGGATCACTGATATCAACACCAATGTCAATGTTTTATTGTGTGATCTAATGCATTTATACACAATAGCAGCAGAGAAGCAAAAAGTGCAGCACTAAGAAGACATTTTGTTGGTATCAATCTAGCTAATATTGATACTCAAAACAAGATTTTGTATTGATATTATCAATACTGTGGGATCAATCTGCCCACCCCTACCCCATAGATAGTCAATTAGGTCTTATATGAGCAGAGAGTCACAAAACAATCACCACACAAAAAGAGGAATAATCAAACAAGAAACGTAGAACGATTCAGCCCAACATTTTAGTGCAGAAACACAGTAACAAAAGTTTTTTAAAGCTGATAATGATTAATTGATTGATTTTATTTTCTGATTAAGGAAGCAGGTGGCAGCCACTTGAAGTATAAGAACAAAAAGAAATCAACACCCACAGTGAAATCTTTTTATATCTCAGTGGTGTAACTCACCGCTCACTGGAGTTTATGGAGGCGGAGCTCGGTTTATCAACTGACTGAAGGGTCGTCTCTCTGTCTTTTGATTGGCTGAGAATTTGTGAGGTAACACTGGTTTTGTCTGGAGGAGGGAGGTGGGGAGCGGGATCTTTAATAGCTGGGGTCAGCTGTGTGAAGCTGGGAGCAGAGACGTCGGTGTGTATGTTTGAAGAAACCAGAGTTCTCATCTTCTGCTTGTCCTCGTCTGACTTGTTGACCTCCAGACTGCAGACAGGAGTCGCTCGATCCTCCTTCCTCCTCTTGTCTTCCTCCTCCCCTTTCTTCTTCCTTCTTTCCATCTCTTCCTTCTCCTGCAGAAGCTTCTTATTCTGTTCCTTCTCTTTCTTCTTCCCGTCTTCTTCCTCCTTCATTCTCTTTTGTGCTTTCTCTTTCTCCTCTCTAAGTCTCTTCTCCTCTTCCCTCTTTTTACTTTCATCTTCCTTTTTCTTCTTCTCTGCCTCCTGCCTTCTCTTCTCCTCTTGCAGTCGTCTCTCCTTTTCTTCTTCCTCCCGTTTCATCCTCTCCTGTTCTTTCTGCTCCTTCAAGAGTATATCTTTCCTCTTCTCCTCCTCTTCACGTCTTTTCTCCATCCTGTCATTCTCCTCCTTTAAGAGTCTCTCCTTCTCTTTTGCCTCCCTTAATCTTGCCTCCTCCCTCTCCTTCTCCTCTTTTAGTACTCTCTCTTTTTCTTCCCTTTTTCTTCTCTCCTCTGCTTCTTTGACTCTCTTCTCCTCCCCATCCCTCCTCTTTCTCTCTTCTTCTTTCCTCCTTTCTTCCTCCTCCCTGTTCTTCCTCTCCTTCTCTGCCTCTTTTATTTTTCTCTCCTCCTCCTCATGTAGATGTTTTTTCTCCTCCTCCTCCCTCTTTCTTCTCTCTGCCTCCTCTTTCAATTTCTGTTGCTCCTTCTCTCTTTCCTCTTTCAAGCGTTTCTCCTCCATCATCCTCCTCTCTTCTTCTTCCCGGAGCCTCTTTTTCTCTTCCTCCCTCCTCCTTTTTTGCTCCTCAAACACTTTCCTCTCCTCCCTCTTTTTATCCTCCTCCTCTTTCATTTTTCTCAAGAAACTCTCTCTCTCAAGTATCTTCTCCTCCTCCCTCCTAAGGTTTTCCTTTCCCACCTCCACTTCCAGGAGTCTCCTCTGCTGCTCTCTTTTTCTCCTCTCCTCCTCGTCCAGCTTCCTCTTCTCCTCCTCCTCCCTCAGCTTCCTCTTCTCCTCCTCCTCCTCCTCCCTCAGCTTCTCCTGTTTCTCTCTCTTCTCCTTCAGGAGTCTCTCCTCCTCACGTTTCCTCCTCTCCTTCTCCTTCTTGACTTCCTCCTCTTCCTGTAAGAATCTCTTCTTCTCCTCCTCTAACAATCTCTTCTTCTCTTCTTCATGTTTTCTCTTCTCCTCCTGCTTCATAAGCACGACTTTTTGCTCTTCCTCCTTCCTCCTCTTTTCGTCATCTTGTTTTTTAAGGATTTCTTTCCCCCTCTGCTTCTCCTGCTCTGCCCTCATCTTTACCTCCTTCTCCATCGCTGCTCCCTCTAACTGCTTTTCTCCAGAGGCCTTTTCACTGGTTTTCTGTTCAAGACTGCAGAACAGATAAACAATATTCCTTAAACCTGAATCTGTGTGTGAGTTTTACCATTATCAGCACCATCAGTTCACATTTCCAGTTCAAACCTTATTTCTTTATGTTCTCTTGATTTTATCTGTGAATATAAATACTCACCCTGGAGGACACCTTTTGATAGTATCCCTCTTAGAGTCATCCTCTTCCAGAAACAAGCCCCCTGATTCTTGTCTCTGGTTAAATGACTCAAAGATGATGTCGTCAAAGTCGGGCTCGGGCTCAGGCTGTGCCAGTGGTGGCTTTTCGGCCTTAAAGGCGCTAATAATACCCCGCGCCTCATGGGTTGGTTTTTTCACCTCGTTACCCCCCCGAACATTTGGCTTCTTAGGAGTGATAAATGCCGCCACAAAAGTAGTGGTGGGCTGCTGAGGGGTGGAGATCTCGCAGCACGAGAAGGGCCATGGAGGGGGCGGGGCTATTATCAGCTCTGAACTTGACTGGGCAGGACTGGGGACAGAAATATTGGAGGTCAGCCTCACGTGACGAGTGGGTGAGTTTTCACAGCGTGCAGGGGTGATTAGGGGGGAAACAGGCAGGCCAGAGTTCAGGCTACATAATGATAATCATTGTGTACTAAAACTAGGGATGGGAATCAAGAACCGGTTCCAGATGAAAACCGGTTCCAAATTGTCTGATCCATCAGAACCGTATGCCTCCAAGCTTATAAATTCCTTTTATCAATGCTCGTCATTTTTTGCACACAATGCAAAACAATGACATCGAGCTCATGTGTCTACGCAGCAGGAAACTTGCAACAAGGATAAGTCACGGCGAAGAGGAAGAAACAGTCCAAAGCGTGGCTTCATTTCACAAAGAATAATGAGAACAGTGCAGTTGTAATGTCTGTAAAAGCGTAATTTCAAGTAAGGGTGGAAACACCAGCGATATGTTGAAACATCTTTCCACGAAACATGGGCTTTACTTCCCGGAATGCCATGTATTTTACACACGAGTGCCACTGCTTCCTAAGTGACACGTCTGTTCCCAAGGGGAAATAACATGTTATAATAACATGAGCGCCATTCAGGCGTGCTTAGCAGTGTTTGTCTTAAAACCTAAATGAAAATGACTGTTTTAAACTAAACAGCTGTGAAAAACAGGAGCTTTTGCACACTTGAATCACATGCATGCCTACTCTGTTTCTATACTGTGTTCAGACTCAGAGATAATAACACAGTTCCGCGAAAACATGTGTAGGCCTACTTTTTAGACAATTTATCACAAATTAATAAGGGAATTGATAAAGGATCAAACCGATAAGCAGAATAAATAATGGCTTTGATACCAATTCCCATCCCTAACTGCAAGGTCAGTGCAACAGGAAGAAGGGTACAAAACACTCAGCAACTGTTAGCACGTTAGCATCAAGAAAGCACAAATGCCAGAAACAAAGCAGCGTGAGGCCTTGAGAAACAGTGGATCTACAAGGCTCTCAACCCTTGATCAACAAACACAGATAAACTGTTACACAACCACAAAAGTGTCAGCAAGCTGAAGTGGGTTTGCCTCAGTCAGCACTAAAGTGGGTTAGCTTTGAATCATTTGGGCCATGATGAATTTGATATTGTGCTGATCAATACGAAGAAATCCTTATTATATTACTGTAAATTGTTGCCTTCTTGTTGTGAAAAATATAGAATATAAAAAGACAAAAAAAAAAGGTTTGGGAGAGGAATGACGATCCTCTATGTTTTCTTCCCAATCTGTGATGCACTGTCTTCAAACATGTCATAACGGCCATGTTGTCAATTAAACAGCAGGGAGACTGCTACATTATTCAGAGTAATCTACAGGAGTGCAACTGACATTTTAAGGAAACACGCTTATTTACATTTTTGCAGAGAGTTAGATGAGAAGATCGATACCACCATATATTATATAGGACGCTACCACCAGCAGGATGGTTAACTTAGCTTAGCATAAAGACTGGAAACAAAGGGACACAGCTAGCCTAACTCTGTCTAAAGGTTACAGAATCCACCAACCAACACCTCTAAAGCTCAGTAATATACACTTATATCTTATTGTTTGGGGACGTATGTGTGAGACGATTTCTTGGCCGTGTGCAGTGACTTCCTAGTTTTTGTACAGATTAAACAAACAAAATATGATGTGTTGCTAATGCATTTTAGAGGTGGATTTTGTTAGCTTTGGACAGAGCCTGGTTTGCTGTTTCCTGTCTTTATGCAAAGCTAAGCTAACCATCTCCTGGTTGCATCTTCCTGGCTTTTTAATAGCTCCTCATCTTTTCTGACCCATATTCTGATTTATTTTAAACAAGTTTTGTCATCTGTGATCTATGATCCCTTTGCAAGGGCTGCACCCAGTCTTCAAGTCACTCCTTCACCTCTGTAGTCTGACAACACAGTTTTTTTTTGACACAGCCAAACATACCTTCAAAGGATCCAAACCAAGCAATCTAAATTTAAACACTCATGTAATATCAACCCATGACCTCACCTGATCCTTGCTGGTTCAGCTTTGTTTTCTGTGATGGCTGCCTTTGAATCCTGGGCTGCTGTGATTGCCTGGTTAGATATTCTGATGTTGGCCATTGTCTGGTTATGTTGAGGAGATCCCTCGCCTCGGCTTAGAGTTGTTTCCTTGCCAACTTGAGTGAAGGGGAACGTTGAGCCTATAAAGAGCAAAAGCAAGGTCACAATTCATTTTTACAGGATGAGTGATCTTTGTAAGAAAGGAAAGAAAGTGTGGTTGTTTCAGACATTTCCACATGTCTGAGAGCATGAGGTAATGGTCTTGGCTGAAATAAACACTGACAGGAAAATGTTTGATTAGTTGGCTGGTGTACCTGACTGACAGGAGCTGATCTTAGCAGGAGGAGCAGAAGGAGAGACAACAAGCTGAGGTTGAGGAGAGGAGAATAAAACAGAGGTGGAAAGAGAAGAGGAGCGAGTGGGTGAAGAGCATGGAAGGGAGGCAGCAAGGGCCGGAGCCATGGGGTCGCAGAGAGCATCAAGGTCAGGACTACTCAGCAGAGGGACAGGGGTGATGTCAGCACCAGATGCCAGCCACGCCCCTTGAGCACCTGAGGAAAGTAGAGAGGAAGGAAAGGAATGAGGAGGTGGAGAGGGAAATAAAAAGAGCTTAGATGAAGCAGATTTATAGGAATGATGGTGGGAGAAGACAGAGGAGAGAGAAGAGACGCTAGGAAATGAGTTACCAAACTGTACTTTTGTCATTAGTTACCTGACTCTGAGATAGAGGGGTGAGATTTGGGAAGAGGAGGTGTTGACGTAAGAGGAGGGACGTCAGCGGAAAAAGGAGAGGGAGAGGAGGGACGGGCGATTGACTTGACAATCTGAGGTCTGAAAATGTGAGAACGGCCTATAGAGAGGACAGAAGATGAAATACATTATAACCAAACAGAAGGAAGGAGAAAAGACAAGAGAGGAAAAGGAGATTTTAAAAGATTTTAAAATTGGCATCTCAAAGTAGAGACAAACCAGAGGTTGAAGTAAGATCATCTTCAGTTTGAACCTCTGGGGGGCACCGTTGATGTGAAACAGGGACTGAGGATGGTGGAAAGAAATGTGATGAACAAAAGAGGAATAAAGAGAAACCGATATAAAGAGTGAAAGGGGAACAGCGTCATTTTATAGCATGGATTTAAGTAATTGTGTTACACCACAGAAATGATCTATATCTGTCAGGAACAAACATGTTTGCTGCAATCTCAACAGTGACAAGCAACTTTCAGCTTGGCTCTATTTGGTAAAGTGCTGTCCAACAATGGTGGTGTTAAAGTAATCAAAGTGCTGTTACTACAATATTATTAAAAAGGCTAAATTCAATACTTAATTTTCTTAATGTTCAGTACTTGCTGTGTAATTCACTCCCATTTCCTTATGTGTATATAAAATTAATAGTCTGCAGAAGAAGAGCCAGTTAAGCACATACTTATGGAATAAATGGTTTATCTTAAATTAATAACCATTTTAAATACATACAATAGTTTTTACATATATTTTGAATAGTGAATTGTGGGTTGATTAAGCTACGGCTATGGCACTACAAGCATTGTTAGAATGCATGCACATCATATATTATATGATGTTTCTATATACAACAGGTGGTAGTGCGCCGAGACAGTTTTAGTGCTCATTTGTCATTTAGGAAAACGTTTAGGAATAACGTGGCACTAAGATGTAGGGAAGTCTGTAAGTGTGGATCAAAACAAGCTTTTGACTGTGTTACACTGAGTAACAACATGTGATAGTGTGTTATATCAGATAACACTGTTTTATCAAGAATTGAACACAAGTTGGTTATTGAACGATCTAACTTTTGGATACCTCCATAATGGTGTGATCTAAAATCTTCAACCTTCCCTGCCTCCTGGACTTGTGAGTACACTGGTTTAATTCACTAGAAAATTGGATTTAATTGCTTTGTTGTTGTTGCCTGAGGTATTACAACACTGACCAAACATTTAACTCTATTCTGACAATCTGATGATGCATAGATCTTCCTCACAGCCAGCCATACTGTATATAGTAGTACTGTACATACCGTGTTTGACTTTAAGTAACATTAAGCTAAATCATGCGGAAAACAAGGTCAGACCAGAACATCACACATAAGGAATCAGTTAGTGGAAAGCATGCAGCGTGCCTGTGTGCCAGCCAGCCTGTCGATACCTTTTCCTGAGCCTGACTGGAAGATTCTGGGAAGAGACGGAGGCTGAGAGAGGGTCCGGGTGAGTGGAGGGTGAGCGGACGGGGGCTCAGAGGACAGAGTGGTCTTTGGTGGAGAGGCTGATTTGGATGGGAGTTGCTGGGAGGTGATGGTTTTATGGGTCAGAGTAGTGGATACAGTGAGAGAAGACTTTTGGGGAGCCGTGGAGGATGATGTTATGATATTTATGGGTGATGACACAGCAGGGGAGGGAAGTTTGGCAGTTAATGAGGTACTTTCGGGGGGCTTTAAGGACAGTTTCGAGGCAGTAGTTGAGGAGGAATTCAGGGGGGCAGAGGGCATTGTTAAAGAGGGCTCCACTGAAATAGACACAGATTCTGAGAATTTGGGAGCTGGAGAATTGAGGGAAGAGGAAGTGTTTTGGGTAGAAGGTGGATTCTGGGAGGATTTGGGGAGCGGAGGATTTGCAGGAGACACATCAGAGAGAGGCAGGACGGAGGAGGTACTCTGAAACGAGGGAGTAGGTGCCGTGACCTGGGAGCTCGGAGGATTAGGTAGTGCGTCGGAAGAAGCAAGAGCCTCATCTAGAAAAGGGTTGTTTGATTTTTTATGCTTGGATCTGGGTGAGGGCTGAGGGGAGGGGCCAGGGGAAGGTTGGATCTCTGACTGGACAGGGGCGGTGGCGAAGGGGTGTCGGCAGCGCCGGGGCGAGGGGCGAGGAGCGATGGGAAGAGGGGGGCGGGAGTGGACGGCAGGTCCGCCATCACGTTCACAGGCTGGATGAATAGATGGATGATAGGATGGATCAGTGAAAGTAGATTTTGGCAGGAAGAGAAATGATGAAAGAGACAGAAGAAAAATGTCATGAAATGAGAATGAAAATGAAATGATGCTCAAAATTAGATTACTATTGGGATCCCATGTCGCAAAACCGCGTCATGAGGATCCTTTGTTAATCACATGAGTCGCTTCTTTGAGCAACACCACAAACAAAATATGAAACTTTAATGCAATTATAGCCCATTTAATGTCGCCTGCTCTACATTCCTCCTGATTATTTTACTCTATGTGAAGACAACTGTAGACCTCAATTGGCTGAATTTAAAATATAACATGCTGTTGTATGTAAAAAACTAGTAATGTCTGCATGCTAAGTCAGATGTTTTAAATTTTAAATGACAGTTGATGGTTTGACTTGCAGTCTGTAATTCAGTACAGTATTTGAGTAGATGTACTTAGTTACATTCCACCATTGGGGACAAGTAGTCCGATGTCATGGTGGGGTTACGGTGATTTGAGTTGCTGTTAGACTTGTTTTTATGTTGGTACAGTAATGTCTGGACGCAACAACACTTTTCATGTCTAGATGAGAAATATGTGGTATGCAGAACACATGGAATGAGTGTGTGAAATGCTGTTATATAAACTGCCCAACCTCCCAATAACAAACAAGGAGACAGGGAGTGCCTGGTCACACCTCCTTCTCTCTGGCAAGAGAAACAAACAGGAAGAAAGGGCAGGAGCAAGCTACCTGAGGCTGGAAGAGTGAGTCCAGTGGAGTTTCGCTTGTCGGGTGGAGGGGGAGCAGGGCGATTGGGGCGAATTAGAGTATGTGGAACTACTGCAAGAGCCAGAAAAGACATAAGAGTAAAGCAGAAGAGGTGACAAGGAATAAGAGAGGAAAAGGTAGGAAGAGGAGGAAGAAATGTCAAAGGAAATAATTCAGGATCACAGGGAAGAAGCAGTGTTTGTGTAAGCCTGACCTACCTGTAGCAGTGACAGATTTCTTGTCCTCCTCTTCATCGCTCTCATTAAAGTCGTCCATGTTGCCGATATCTGTGGGTTTGACGCTCATCAGGCTGGCCAAACTCTGCATGTCTTCATCCCTGAGGAACATGAGAACAAACATTTATCCCACCATCAGAGCTCTCATGACATCTCTAGAAACAGAAAACACGTATGATGAAAAATATGCTCAGTAAATCAAATATGGCTGAGGCTTCATTTATTAACCTCCAATGTTAACAGAAAAGTTAAACTTTTTTAAGAAGATTTTTAAGAATTGTTGACATTGTAAGACAGCTCCCAAAAAATTCAAACATAATAAAAACTTGTTAGACCTTTAAATACACTTGATAATAGTATTAATGGTAATAGGTAAACAAGGAGAAGCAGAAGAAAAAAATAACTCACGTGGCTTTCCCCTCACGAACAAAGACACACGACAGTGACAGCTTGAGCGTGGCCTCCACCACTTTGACGGACAGCGGCTTCAGCTTCAGTGTCAGGTCAGTCTGGGTTGGCGTCGGACTGGCAAACCGCTTCAGGTTGATGTCTGCTGATGCCAGCACCTTACGATGCCCCTTGTTCTCCTTTACATGACCAACAAATAAAACAACCATGATATGTAGCTATAGTATTTTGAATCCTGAGGAGTTATTTAAATAATCTATTTAAGTAGAAGTGGCAATAATACACAATAAAAAATCCTCCATTACAAAATTAATTCAAGTATCAAATGTAAAAGTACTCATAATGCAGAAAAGGCCCATAGCAACAAACATAGTGGAGAAAAATATACAGTGTTTCCTTTGAAATACAGTGTAGTAGAAGTATAAAGTAGCAATAAATAAAAAAGGCCAGAATTAGACCAAATAATTTAGAAAATCATTCAGTTTGGTTAATTTAAGAAACAGATGTTTAGCCAAGTAGTCAGGAAATACTTACACCCTCAATAACAAAGGTCCACTCTTTGTCCTCAAACTCATCAGCATTGACCTCCTGAAGAGATGAAAACAAACAATAAACATCATCTGTGCCCATTATCCATGTATGTACCTATCTAACTGTTTACCACATACCTGTACATAAGTCTGTGTACATATATATGTATATATAGTTAATCCCAATACAATCCCCTATGCAATTCAAGTAAACACATTTACACTTAACATGTGCAAAATATTACCAGGCTCTAGTTTTTTCATTTGAATTCAGTCATGTTCTTAGTTATTTGTTTGTATTATTCTATCTTCTTATTTATGGACTATATGCTGTTTTTTGCTTGCTTTGTGATTCCTGTGTGACTTGGCTGCTGTAACGCTGTCATTTGGGATTAATGAAGTACTCTGAATTCTACTGGAGGGACAAACAACACTATTCTTCCAGTGAGCCCTCGTGTCATGTATGGAAACATCTGAATTTGTTATATTTCCCCAGTCAGTAAGTTTTTCCTTTAATTTTCCACCTGTCTGTACGCGTTTGTAAAGAGTGTGCTCTGGTATTGGTACCTTGAAGAGTGTAACAGAGATGTCGATGTTCTCTGGGACAGGCCACACCACCATGCCTCTGTAGGGGTTCTTGATTCCAGGCTGCCAACTGTGGAGCTGCACAACAAACAACATAGTGAGACTGTGTGTGTGTGTGTGTACTTCTGTGTGTGTGCTTCACTGGTTTTACCTTTGAGCACATGCGTCTGTTCCTCCTGGTCCACACCACCCTTAGCTTGTCTGGTTGCCTACAGAAACATACAAACATAGTTCAACAGAGTTGTGCCACATGGACAATAAATGCTCGGACTGCATTAAATAATGTCTCCACACAAAGTGGGAGAGAACATGAGGTCTTATGACTGTCACTGCTGAATAATATTGCCTTGGGGTCAAAGGCAAGGGACGGATGTGAGTGTGTGTTTGTGTGTGAGTGTTTCTGCAGATGGCTGTGAACACATGGTATTAATGTCCGTCTATCAACATGCATTGGTAAAGCTGTGAATGTGTGTACACTGTGTGTGTGTGTGTGTGTGTGTGTGTGTGTGTGTATTCATGCAGCTGTAATTAGGCTTCACAATGTATAATAGTGTGTTTGCAATGTGTATACGCGTTCCTATTGTATTTTCTCAGCCCTCTGCAGAACAGGAAGTAAAACTGGAAGCTGCAGGGTCATGTGACGTTAATCTATGTGAATGTCAGGCGTGCCTGTTGACAGGAAGAAGGAACCCCCTTCACAAGAGAAGACACGTACACACACATAGACCCCAAATAATATACCAGTACGTAATAATACTTCATAGTGCTCACAGCCAACTCAAAATATGTTACAACCATTTTAACACCTGCAGATGTTCTTTAGAATATTGATACCAATAGTTTATACTGAATATTGTCTCAAGTTTCAGTGTATCAGTGTTCAAGTATAGCAAAGAGGGCTGTGTGTGTACATGTGTTCATGTGGTATGTGTGTTAAGGGGTCAGAAGTGGCATCAGAAATAGCCTGACAGGGGAGAGAGGAAGAACAGAACAGCAAAAAGAAGGAGACAAAGAAAGGATGATCTGCAACACAAGGACACAAATCATATTCTGCACCAGCTCAGGAACAATAAGCAGCAGCACAGGGCTATGTTTACACAGGCCGACATTAGGGTGTAATACGGTTTAGTAACGTGTAATTACTGTAGCCCTACACTGTGGTTGCTATCTTGTTATTTAACAGACAATGGCTATATTCCACAGCTGACTAGATGAGTGATTAACATCATCCCCACCCATGTTTAAAAAGAAGTACAAGCGTTTAGTGTTTGTGATATTACTGTAAAGCACATACATTTACACATTGACAGACAGTAAACTGCACTAAACCTGTCTCATGATTTCATCACACGAAGCATTCCTCGTGTTACTGTAAAAATAGTGCTGTTGCTACATCTTTAATTATGTCTGTGCCACTCAATGGTCTCTGTCAACATCACTTTATCATTTTCTGACTACTGTCATGTACAAACTGCTGGGGCTTCTTGTCTTTGCCCTTTCTGTGTTTTTCGGTTATTTTTTATCTAATAGAGCTTGTGATGGGGGATATCTTATTCTTCCATTCATGCTATCATGTATATGCAGCCTCATAGACATCCTGTCTTTAATAACACCTTTTTTTTGGCTGCCTGGGGGCAGATGAATCAACATTAACATTCATATGGAGTTGTTTCTGGCAACCTGGTGTATTGTAAGTCCAATATTCACTCTCCTTTTGCTCTGTTTATGGTCTTTACCAACTCCTGAGGAAGATTTCCGCTAAATGCTCCAATATGATTCACCCAGCTAAGTCTCTAAACTGTTCTGTCTGCTGTTTGGGTGTCTGAGCTGGTAAGCTGGTACTCAGCCTCGGGGTTTTAAAGTTGATGGTTGTCCTGAAAATTGAAGCTGCCTGCTGTGTCTGAACACAACACTGTTAGAGCGGCGAGAGTGAACAAAAATGGTAGAGTTGCTGGTCGGACAGTTGAAACTCACTATAAAGGTCTGTAAAGTTGAGGGGAGAATTGTCTTGTCTGTTCCATTGTGATTAGATAAATTGTTATTGTAAAAACTTTCAGTTTTAGCTGCTTTAAATATAGTTATATAGTTATAGTTGCACTTTTAAAGTTGCAGTTACAAATCATCTCTTATAAAGTCTAAATATGCATCTCAGTAACAAGTCTGTGTGGGTGAAAAAAGCCAGTGGTCTCAAATCATAGCACGAAATTAGAACAAACCCCCAAACAAACACACACACA